GGACGCGGCCTCGACGATGGCCTCGTCGCCGACGCTCTCCGGGACGGATCGCACGCAGGCGACGGCGGGCCTAGCCCGCGGCGTCTTCGGCGGTCTCTCGAGCAGCGGCTCCTCTTCCGAGTCGTAGGATCCCCGCGGCGATTCAGCTCTGCCGACGTTGATTCGGCTCGGGGCCCGTGGAAATCCCGTGGCGTCGTCGCGGGTTCGGTCCGCGGAAGGGGCGCCTCGGCCGCCGCGCCGCCGCCGCCGCCGTCGTCGTCGTCGTTGTAGAAGGCGCCGGTGACGGCGCCGTCGAAGGGAAGAATCATCGTCGTGTGATCGTCGCTATCGTCCTCGCCCGGCGCCGGCTCGGGCTCGGGCTTGGGCTCCGCCGCGGCGACGTCGCCCGGGTCCGTGTAGAGCGGAGCGACCTTGATGACTTTTCTCGGTCTTTTCAGCGACGAAGCCGCTGGCAGCTGCCTCGTTGCGGCTCTGCGGACTGCCTTGCGCACCGCGCGCGTCACCAGAAACGGCGACGCGACGAAGAGGGCGAGGAGTAAAAGGTGAAATCCGAAAAAGTGGCGGAACCTCCTTGCTGCCGCGGCGTCGCAGGCGTGGCACTGGCCGGTGGACATGTCGCGGTAAAAATCGCGCTCGCAGGCCGCGCACAGCGTCTTGTAGTAGCCGTCCGCGCATCGCGTAGCGTTTCCCGCTCCGCCGACGCATGCGTCCTCGCGGAAGCACTCCCTGACCTTCGACGAGCCGGGCGTCGTCCGCCAGCAGCCGTCGTGCACCGCGATCGTCTCGATGGTGGTTCCCTCGGCACAGGTCGCATGGTCGGGGCACGAGACGCACCTCGAGCCGTCGATCGCGGTGTCGTCGTCCGCGAGGTAGAGGCCCGCTTCGCAGAAGTCGCAGGTCGTCGAGCCCTGACGGGACGTGCGCCCGAGCTGGAAGGACGAGCAGCGGTCGCAGCCAAGCTGGCCGCTCTGCGGCTGATACGTCGACGCCGGGCAGCGCTCGCACTGCTTTTGCCCGGCCGCGGGCTGTCGACGGCCCGGCGCGCACGCCTCGCAGGCCGTGCTGAAGGGCTTGTCCGAGAATTCGCCCGCGGGGCAGGGGCGGCATTCGATCGAATCGGCCGTAAAATAGCCAGGCTGACAGACCTCGCAAAACAAGCCCAGGGGACTGAACGTGCCGTTCTCGCAGGGCGCGCAGGTGATGTTACCGTTGTCAACCACGACTTCGCGTTCGCCGGGGAGACAGTTCGAGCAAAATCGCTGCCCGAGTCCAGATATCCTGCCGGCCGGGCAATTCGTGCAGACGCCCGCGGCGGGCGCGTTGGAATAGGTATTGTAGGGGCACAATTCGCACGTCGTGGCCGTGGTCTCGTTGGCGAATTTGCCCGCAGCGCATGGCTTGCACGCGCCATCGAGCGGCACGTAGCCGTCGTCGCTATATTTGCCGGGTAGGCACCGCGGCCGCGTCGGCGCGGCACTGGGTAAGCTGGACGGCGAGGCCGTCGGAGCGGTCGAAGGGGCGGCGGTCGGAGCGCCACTCGGAGCGCCGCTCGGCGCAGAGGTCGTCGGCCCGCTCGTCGTCGGCGTCGCAGACGGAATCGCGGTGGTTGGGGCGGGAGTAGGTTTGGGTGTCGGCGTGGCCGTCGGCGCGGGAGTAAATGACACCTGAAAATCGATCGAATCCACGAGAGACCCGTCGTCCGTGCACTTCAGGGTGAGCGTGAACTCGTTCGAACCCGCGTCGCCGGCGACGACCTGCATCTGCTGCCCGTCGTTGGCTATGGTCTGCGAGCCGACCTCGTTCCCGTCCGGGTCGGTCAGCGTGACTTCGACGGTCGCGCAGCCGGGGCCGCGGTACGCCCAGAGGAGCTCGCACTCGATGCCGTGGACGCACGTCGACGCGGTGCCAATGCTCGTGATCGCCAGGACGGAGGCCGTGGGAGGAGGGGAAGGGGCGGGCGTCGGCTTCGGCGTGGTGGGATTTGGCGTTGGAGTCGGAGTCGGCTGCGGCGTCTCGCAGTTTGACGAANAGCGGACGCCGCAATCGGCGACTGCGCAGCCGGACGAGGTCGCGAAGTCTGACGCGGAGACAGAGCTCGAGATGCACCAGTCGAGGTCCTGGTTGAAAGCGGAAGCATCGTAG